ATATATATATATATATACATAAAGAAACATATCACAATGAAAAAGAAATATGTAGGAATGTTGATTTATTTTACCACGATTTTCTATTAATACTGATATTTTCTAATCATAGAAATTAATAACAAAGAATGACATGTATGAAATCAAATGTATTCAATCAAAACTGAAAAAAAATATTCATTCCTATATTATGAAAATATATAATTATATATTAATAAAATTATAACCAAAATTAATCATGAATGAAATGAGACGTAGAAACAGAATAGCTAATTCGAGGCGACACCCAAATCGTTTTTCAATCTCGAAATAATCTTAAAAATATTTTAATGGATCATTCGACGTACTTCAAAAATCTTGTTACACGATCAAAAAGAACAACTTAGAAATTGAGACATGTGGATAATCAACACGGACGTTTTCGTGAGACAATACCGCGGCGCGAAGCCGCACGCTCATGAGCTAACCTCAAAAAGACGATCGGCGATCGTGAACCGCATGTCAGAATAGAAGACGTAGAAGCCAGTCTTCACTACACTATAACGCTACGTTATTAACTCAGCACGAGACGCGGCTAATAATAAAATCACCAAGAATAATAAGCGTTCTTTGTCGAATGATAAGGAAGCAAGTGGCCACAAAGTGACATTCACCCTAACGTACACATACACTCGCGCGCGCGCGCACATTGACGCCATGTTCTCACTCTTCTTCTACATTCGTGATGGATGAGCGATTGAGGTGCCATCTGAAGATCAAGGCGACAATCAGACAAATCAACGTTTAGAATTTTTCATGTCAAACGCGTGTTAAAGATTTTAGCAAAAGTAAAAAATAAAATGAAAATAAAAATAAAGAACAAAAAATATTGTTAAGTTTGAAGAAATTTTTATTAGCTGAATTACAATTTATTATATAGTAAATAATATATAGTAATCTAGTACAATATATAGATAGTATATAACAAATCAAATTTAAAACATTATTTTGTATCAAATATATATTGATTTTTTTTATGTAGCTATTTTAACATATTTTTTTAAAATTTTGTTGTAATTAATAGAATTAAAGATATTATTTAAAAAAAAAATGTGAATATTTGCAAATCAAATATATATATACGAAATTTATCATTCGTATTAAAAAAATATATAAAGATAAAATACTAAACTTTAAACTTATCATGTAAAGCTTTATGTTCTAAACTTTTTCTAAACTGATAGATAAAAGATATTAAAACAATAAATAATGATAAATTAAAGTTTTATTAAATAAAATTTATACGTTGAACTTTAATGAAACATTGATAATCATAGATTTAAATTTAATTTCATTATCATAAAAATATTATTTTGAAAAAATAATATAACAATAGCAATATTCTTTATTTTCAAGA